GTCCCCTGGCGGCGGCGGCGGCGGCGGCGGCGGAGGAGGAGGAGGAGCTCGCGGGTCCCGGGCAGGATTTCTGGCGCGGAGCGGGGTCGCGGCGCGACGGGAGGCAATGGCCGCAGCGCAGCGTTCCGCGCCGGTCTGCAGAGACGAGCGCTGCCCTCCGCCGAGTCAGGAGTGAGCGGCTCAGGCAGGCGGCATGGAGGAGGAGCCGGAGCCGCCCTTTCGGCCGCGCACCCAGGTGACCCACAGCATCCTCCCGATACCCTGCACCCCGGCGCCCCGCCTGCGCTCGGGTCTCGTCCGCACCCCGCTGGCCGCGCGTCCAACCGCGCCTTACACCCCTGAGTCCCACCGCACTTGCGCTCCGCTGCTGCCGCTACCCATTTGCGCCTCGCAAACGCCCACTGCGCCTGCGCCCCTCTGCGTTCCGCGCTGCCTCACTGCGCCCCCCAGCGCGCAGACGCCGCGTCTACCGCGCGTCTCTGGTTGCGGACTGCTTTGTAGTACAGAGTTGTACCTCGCAGGTACCCCGTTTTCACAATGTGCGACCTCTTTCTGCTTTTTGAAAAGCGCTGAATTAGCCAGGTGTGGTGGCACATGCCTGTAACCTCAGCACTTGGGAGGCTGAGGCAGGAGGATCGTTGTAAATTCGAGACCAGGCTTGGCTACATAGTGAGTTCAAAGGCAACCTGAACTACGAAACGAGACCTCATATCAAAAACACCAAATAAGGGGCTGGGGATTTAGCTTAGCGGCACAGCGCCTGCCTGGCTAGCACAAGGTCGTGAGTTCGGTTCCCGGTACCGGAAAACAACAACAACAAAAACAACAAATAATAACCGAAAAAGCCCGCTGAATTTCAAAACCTCCCTGGGTCAGATGTTTCTAATGAGAGATTGTGGACCCATGTGAACTACACACTCGGAGCCACCCTTGAAAGCTTAACGAATGTGCCCAGCGCACAAAACTCTAGTGCTTGTATGTCCCTTTATGTCCTTGGCCCGGAGGGGCATAAGCAGGGTTCCTACCAGGCATGGGCTGTGGGCCGGTGCAGGTTGCTGGACCTGAGTCATCGCGGTCTAGCACCTTCTGTCCCCCATTGATGTCCACATGGTCCTCTGGTCGTCGTGCAGGCCAGACACGCTCCAAGGGGCAGCAGCTTCGTGAACACCGCAGTCAAGCCAGTCACCCGCCCCTATGACTTTCCCACCCTCTCTTCTTCCTCTAGGCTCAACTCTGACTTGGCTTCTGCCTCATCAAAAGAATGGGGGCAGTCAGGGATCGCCCACATGCCCACCACATCTCTGGGTTTCCCTCAACCTGGATTGATTTCCTTTAGATAGATGTACGGCACTCTGTCACCTCGCTTCTTGGGCCATATTCCGGGACTACTATTTGAGACGCTCGGCACCTCCCTGTCCTGCTTTATGTGTAGCACCGGCTGACACATTATATATTTTGCTTGTTCTTTTTTTTAATTTTTTTTTTTCCCGGTACCGGGAATCGAACTCGCGCTTGCCAGGCAGGTGCTGTGCCGCTGAGCTAAATCCCCAGCCCCTGTTTTGCTTGTTCAATTGCCATTGTCTGTTTTCCTGCCGGAAGGAAAATTCCCTGGGGTCATGGGTTGTGTTTCTAGTTCAGTTACATCCCCACCAGCTAGAACAGTAGTAGATTTATTACCAACACTAGGGAGGTAATAAATAGCTGTTCGCTTGGGACTGGGGATATAGCTCAGTGATAAAGCAGTTGCCTAGCATGTGTGAGGTCTTGGGTTTGATCCCCAGCACAGCAAAAATAAGTAAGTCAAGAAACATCTGTTCACTGAATTATTATTCACTATGATAATGTTTGAACACTTATCCTGATCAAGCGTGGTACTAGGCAATAGACATAGGTGGTGTATTAAATTGAACAATTTCCTGTAGCCTTGGAAAGCTGTGGGCCTCTCCTGACGTACAGGCTCGTCTGTCATCACTCTTATCTCTGGCTGCTTTTTCCGGAGGAGCTGTCCTGAGGGCAGCACTCACCTCCACGCCACTCCCTCGGAGTGGCCGCACTGCCCAAGTTCACTCAGATTCTGGAGTTCCTGTGTGGCTTCCTCCCATGGCCTCTGGCTTAGGATGAAGTTAGACCATATGGGAATTACAGACAAGCAGGGCCTGTGTCATTGATCCACTTCCAGACCTAGGGCAAGGTGATCAGCAGGCCCCTGCCCTCAGACCTGTGCTACCCACCCCAGCACAGTATCTCACCAAATGTCCCCCAGCACCTGTCCCGGCCAGGACAAGCGCTCAGTACTTAACTGATGAATGGTTCTGGAAATCCTTCAGAAAACCTTTAGCTAAACATAAAAATAGTAAATCTGGCTTGCAGGAATGAAAATCTACAGAACAGTTTTCCAGAACAAGAAAAACTGTGTGAAAAAAATATCATGATTTTTTTGGGGGGGAGTCAATGATTGTATTTTTATTTATTTTTTTTTTTTTGAGAGAGGATCTCTCTATATAGGTCAGGCTGGCCTTGAACTCAACCTGTAGGACAGGCTGGCATTTAACTCAGGCAATTGTCGTGCCTCAGCTTGGTGTTGTAGGCATGTGCCGCCATGCCTGGCCCCAGTGATTTGAGTTTTGTAAGGTCAACTCTTTTGTGAATGCTTAGGAAAATATCTGATGGAAGCAGTTTATCATTGTACTTTTGGAGAATGGAAAATTTTGGTACACCATTATATTAAATTTTCAAAAAACCTTAATGAGATACCAAATGGTGGTGGTGTCAATAGCTACTTCCTGGGTTTCTCAGTTGTTAAGCTCGTTAGCTCAGCAGGAGGGCCAGCTTAAAGCGAGGAGGGCTCAGCTTGCATGTAGAAGCCCCCACCTATTTTGTGGTGCTGCCAGGGGTAGGAATTAGCATGCTGAATGTTTTCTTGAAGTTGTACCACAGAGAGGAGGAGGGGCCTGAGTTCATCACATCAGGTCCATCTCTGAGTTGGGACCAAGCCCTGTCCATGGGGAGATAGTAACCACACGGTGTTCCATAACGTTCATGGGAATCCACTTCCAACTGCCTATGAAGATGAATGAAGAGAACCTGGACTATTATCACCCAGGCATCGGGGTAATTATTACCATCAGGTATTATTACCCAGGTAGCATTTCTGATCTGAATCATGACTCTGCGTTTGGACCAGAAAAGTGTATGGGACCTTAAAAGCTCACCTTCCTTACCGGTATCAAATGATGACCATCGTGCTGATCTTCCATCCCTTCGCTTGTGGCAAGAGATGGCTTAAGTAAATAACTTAGACTTTGATTAGTCATAAAAAATATCATAACAGCTTGGCTGAGACTAGTGGCAAGTGAGGCGGCCCCGTGCGGCGCGACACCGGGCACCGGACATAGTGCATTGCCAGTGACCTGAAAAAATGTCAGGATTTCTAAAAGGTATGAGATGCTCAGAATGCATTGACTGGGGAGAAAAGTGAAATACTATTGCTTTCATCACTGCTGGTGTTCTGTTTTTCACAGGTTGGTGGATTATCATAGATGCAGCTGTTATTTATCCCAGTATGGAAAAGTTCAGCCACTCATACCATGCCTGTGGCGTGGTAGCAACCATAGCCTTCTTAATGATTAATGCAGTATCGAATGGACAGGTCTGGGGTGATAGTTACAGTGAAGGTTGTCTGGGTCAAACAGGTGCTTGCATTTGGCTGTTCATTGGTTTCATGCTAGCCTTTGGATCTCTGATCGCATCCATGTGGATTCTCTTTGGTGGTTATGTTGCAAAGGAAAAACCCATAGTATATCCTGGAATTGCTGTATTTTTCCAGAATGCCTTCATATTTTGTTGAGGATTGGTGTTTAAGTTTGGCTGCACTGAAGACTTGTGGCAGTGAAAATAGCAGACTTCCTGCAGCCTGGCAGCCCTGCGTGGGGTTTTTTACCGCTCACTCCCTGTCTTTTGTAATGCCATTTTCTGAACTTACTTCTGAGTACAGTCTCAGATTCAAGTTGTGTAATGCTAAAATCATGAGAACTCCCCACGTGTCAACAGCAACAAAATCTCCTTGGTGTGCACCTAATTAACTTACACAGTGTTAAAGGAAATTGTTTCACATGGGTAACCTCTGTCATTTCATCATGATATAATTTGTAAAAATAAAAGTAAATTACAGAAGAAAAAAAAAATCATAACAAGCATGTGAAGTTTTTTTGGTGCTAGAAGTGGAGCTCAGGTTTTGATGCATATGAGGCAAGCACTCTTATTACCGAGCCCCGGCCCTAAGCATGCCATTTTGCAGCTTACAATTTTATGAGGAAAAACAGAAGCAAGGTTGTGAATCTCAAAAAAAAAACCTAAATGGAATGGGACATAAGAGCCCTGAATTCTTTTGGCTGAATGCCTTGAGGACACCTCCATCCCTATGGAGGATGCACTGGGGTACAGCGTGTCACTGTACCAAGTATGCCTGGCACACATGTTCCCATCCTGCAGGTAGACAGTGTTAGCTCCGGGTCCAGGCGGGGAAGCAACTCAGAGTATGAGGGGTGAGGAAAGAGCTGACACCGACCCGGGCACCTCCGCCGTCTCTGGTTGCTGTCGACTGCCCTGTGTGTTCCCAGGTTCCCACACATGCAGGACCGTGTGACCCTTTCTCTTAGCACCACTGCAGAAACAGCTGGTAGGAGGTAAGGAGAGGCTCAGCCCAGATGCCTGCAGCCAGACCACTCTGTTGGAGAATGTTTCCCTGGGGAAAGTCACTGGGACACAGGGGCAGAGCTGTACTCCACACGGGGGACCCCTCGGAACCACGGCAGACATGCCCAGGGGCAGCCCCGCAGCGGCTCTGAACTCAGGAAGGTGCTGGCAGAGGAAGGGTACGGTGAGGGTGGGGGCACAGCCTGTACTCAGAACAGAAGGTTTGGGTTCCCCTGCTATCTGCCGACCACGTGATCTGGGTAACCCCACCACTGTGTGCGTCAGTTTCCTTGTCTGGAAAAGGAGACCTTATTGCCTGGTTCAAATAAATTGCAATGCTGTGATCAGTAGATATGTCCCAGGGAGTGAGGTGGAGGTCATTATTGGTTACTTTGCACTCTCCCCTATTTTTCAGAGTCGGGGCTGGGTCCTGCTCCTGACCATCTGTGCGGCTGGCATTGGTGGAACTTTTCAGTTTGGCTACAACCTCTCCATCATCAATGCCCCAACCTGGGTATGTACCTTCTGTGTCCACTGTCGTTGTGTGAGCAGGTCCTGGGTGGGGACCAACAGCTGCCTCAGCTCAGTGTCTTCTTAGTAGTGCTTTCTCCCGTGTCCCTCTCCACTGTCCCACAGGCTCCTGCAGGTTTAAACAGAGCACTGCACCCTTCCCCAGTGATGACAACGGTCACTTATGTATGGTGGTGTAAGGGCTGTAATTGACAACCTGGGAGAACTTCCTCAAAGAACTGCTTATTTGTGTTTTATTTTGTTTTGTTTGAGACAGGGTCTCCCTTGTAGTTCAGGCTGGCCTTGAACTCACTATGTAGCCCAGGCTGACCTCAAACTCAAGGCGATCCTCCTGCTTCAGCCTTGAGTGCTGGGATTACAAATGTGCAGCGCCACACCTGGCTAGAACAGATTGTTAACAGAACACGTATGGGAATGTATTCTGGGCAGAAATAATGCTGGCACTCCAGCCCTATAAAGAAAGGATGGATGAAAAGGCTTAGAAAGGGAGATATGAGCTGGCTACATTGGTTTATGTGTTCATTCCATTCACCAAACATTTGAATTCCATTCACAAAGCCCATTCATTTCATGAATGCATATTCATTTCATTCACCAAGCCCACTTCAGTGTAGGCTCACAACTGGGGAGGGGTCCCTCCATGGCAGGGACAATTAACCTTGCCTCCAAAAGGCCGTCTCCAGTCCTCAGAAACATGCTTTCTTGGACTTGACAGCTCCCCTTTCCCCGCTGAATGATGTTAAATAGAAAATACTCTATTAAGAAACAATGAATGAATGACACTGGGTTAAACCATGGTTACACAAGGTGACCCCAGGACAAGGGTGAGGAACACGATCAGGTATTGAGAATGATCAGATGCAAAGGATGGGGGATTCTAGCTAAACTAGCTTAGCATGTGTTAAGTAGAGATTACAGGAGGCCATTGTTTTGAGCTAAATTCCATGCTAAAAATCAAAGTGGAGTCACTCTCACTAAAGTTCTATATCCTCAAACTGAAACTAAGCTGATTATTTGACCTTCTGAAGTCAAGAGTAGAGGGAAACAGCCAACTTTCCCAAAAGCCCAGTTTCAATTGGCATGACAACAAAGATCTCTCTGCTTTAATCCTAACATACATGAAGAAACCAAAAATAAGCTGATGTTAACCAATCAGTTATTTTCCTATTGTTCTTTCTCTCCCCACCTTACAATGAAAGTTACTTTAAAATGACAAATTTACTTTTTGTTGCTGTTTCTGCTTTATTTGAGCACTTCTCTTTCTATAAAACCAACTCCTTTGGCTTGCACCATCAGAACTCTTTATTTTATGGAATGAAGTGTTGCCTGATTCTAGGATGGAAAATAAAGCCAATTAAGTTTGTTAAACATTTTTTTTGAGACAGGGTCTCACTAGGTAGCCCAGGCCGACTTTGAATCCACAGCGATCCTCCTGCCTCAGCCTCCCATGTGCTGGGATTACAAGCCTGTGTCATCATGTCTGGCTAATTAAACTAAATTATTTTAATTTAATTGTCCTTTGACATGGAATTCTTACTAAAATTGGAGAATGCAAATGAACACAGAAGACCAAAAGTTGAGGCCTACTTGAAAAAGAGCCCAGAACAGCCTGGTTTTCACTAAGCAATGAATCTTTTTTAATGGCCAGTCTTGAGGAATCAAAGGTCAACATCAAGGGAGCCTGGCCCTTGTCCAACTCCTCTGACAGTTCCTCCCCAGGGAGAGATGTGGCATCCATAACTTGGAGCTAGCCAGTGTGGGGAGAACTGGCCAACACCGGAACACGATAGCCTCCCTCATGTCCTGTTGGGAGGCCTAAGACCGGTATTTGATCCATAGCCGAGGACGAGGTGTCTCTGTCTTTACCATGCACAGACTTTCCCAACCACCTGGCTTCCACTTGCTCCCTCGATGTGGTTGTCTGGGAGCTGAGGCTGTATGGAACGTGAACTAGCTGGATGCAGCCTTGACCTGTGGTAGAGGCCATAGATGAGTTGTTTCACCTCTCTGGACCTAATTTCCAGCGTTAACAACAATCAAAGTTATGTGTACCTAGTAGAGTACACTTATTCTTTGGTACCGTGCGAAGTGGGTTCCAGAATAGCCTGTGGATATCAAAACCTACGGATGCTCAAGTTTAGTACATAAAATTGTGTAGCATTTGTGTATAACCTACTTATATTCTCCTGTAGACTTTAAATAATCTCTAGATTACTTATATAGAATACCTAATACAATGTAAATGCCATAAAGATCATATAAAGCTGGGCGTGGTGGCACACATCTGTAATCCCAGCACTTGGGAGGCTGAGGCAGGAGGATTGTTGCAAGTTCAAGGCCAGCCTGGGATACAAAGCGAGCTGAAGGCCAGCCTGAACTGCATAGTGAGACCCTGTCTCAAAATAAAAGACAAAAAAAAATGCCGTGTAAATAGTTATTATATTATTTAGGGAATGATGATAAGAAAAATGTCTGGTGGTGTTCTGTACAGATACAGCTTTTTTTCCTGAGTATTTTTGATCTGCTCTTGGTTCAATCCATAGATACAGAGGGATAACTGTATTTTTGAGGCATACCGCAGTCAGAGTTCCAAGAACATACCTGGCTCACTCAAGATAAGTCAAGTGGGTTTGGATGCCACAAAGGATGATTCACAAAGGATGATGAGGTGGGGTACAGAGAACACACACAGCAAGGGAATGTGCAGTAAGGTGGATTTATAACACCTCTGTCTCAGCACCTGTCCCCCAGAAAGAGACAAATGGGAGGAACTTTGACCAAAACCAGAAGGAATGAACCATATTGCGCAGGTCCCTTCATGAGAAGCAGTGACCATTGGCCAAGGGGTGCAGCCAGCCTGAGGTGACTTCACAGGGAGGGGACCAGGTGGAACTCCTGTGTCCCTCTGTCATTCCTCTAAGGTCCTGGTGGAGCTTACTATGGCCAAGTTCAACTGAAAACCAGTTAGCTAGTGTCTTTGTTACTTTTCTTATTGTTGAGACAAAATACCAGACCCCCAAAGCTATAGGAGAAAGGGTTTATTTCAGCTCACAGTTTGTAAAGGTTTCAGTCCGTAGTTGGCTGGCTCCAAAGCAAGGTGGCATGTAGAGGAGCACTGTGGAGGAAAAATAGTCCATGGCAAGCAGGCAGGAGACAGCAGAGCAGCAAGCAGCAGCAGCAGCAGGAGCAGCAGCAACTGGCCTCTCCCTTTTTATCTCATCCAGTCTTTTGAGTGATGCCATCCATACCGAAATTGGGGCTTCCCATTATCCACACCCAGAACTATGCTAAACCAATCAGTGGAGTAATTTGGTAAACATGTGCCCTTAATCCTACTACCATCACACCTTAATCCCAGCATCACACATCCTAGATCCAGCCACCTCCAAAAATCGCCACCTATGACTGCATGAGGCTTTGGGGGGACAACTAGATACACCCCAGTGATCTGGGCTGCACAGGTGGCTTGCTGGGCAACAGCAGAGTGGGAGTGTGGGACCGTGGGCCTGGAGCATGTAGTATAATTAGAACTATAATTCATCTTTGTCACTGGTTCCTGGGATAGAGCTGAAACCCTTGGAATTTCCTGAGTAATAAGAGCATCTTTTGTTATTTTTGTAATGAGCCCCCTTCGATCATACCTGTTTATTCTAATGACATAACTTTGGATGGTGCCCCTAGATAGCTGCAGATAGGTCAGCAGAAAGCTCTAGTGATTAAAGGATAAGAACTTTCATCCCCACCCCTCACCTCTGGGAAGGGAAGAAACCTAAAACTTAAACTCTATGAAAAAAATTTTTTTTGAGACAGGGTCTCCCCTTGTAGTGTAGGCTGGCCTTGAATTCACTGTGGCCTTGCACTCATGGCAATCCTCCTGCCTCAGCTTCTCAAGTGCTGGGATTTACAGGCGTGTACCACCACGCCCAGCTTCTATAAAACCTCATGAATGATGAAATAGGATGAATTTCAGCCCTGTGACTACATGGAGGTGCTGGGAAGAAGGAGTGCCCTGAGAAGACATGGAAGCTCCACACACTCCTCACTGAATATTGCCCTCTGCAACTTTACCATCTGATTCTTTCTGATTTTTATCCTTTATAACAAAGCAGTAAATGTAAGGAAACTACCTTTTTGAGTTTTGTGAGCTATTCGAGCAAGCTGAGGAGAAAGCACTTACCTTCGGAGAACTTGAGGAGGTGATTGTAAAAACCCCATTTTATAGCTGGTCCTTAGAATATGGGAGGCCTGCATTTGCAGTTTTCATCTGAAGAGGGGGCAGTCTCGTGGGACTGAGCTCTTTGACTTGTAGAATTTGATACTAACTTCAGATAGTGTCAGAACTGTATTAGATTATAGTACACCTAGTTGGTGTCCAGAGAATTGCAGAAATGCTTAGTGTGGAAAAAAACCACACACCCCTGCTGTGAGCAGTGTTGTGTGAGTGCAGAGACATAGTGTAATCCCAGAGAGAGGGAAATAGAGAAATCCAGCTCTAGGCTACAGGAGACACAGAATGTGAAGGAAACCAGCACGTGGGAGGTCAGGTGAGCTTCCTCCTGCCCCATGGGAGCAGTATTGCTCAGCACACTGGGGGTCTGCTGTGCAGCGGCACACAGCCTGTGGGGGCTGTGCCTCTCTACCCTTATCCAGAGGGAGCTGACTGGCATCTCTGTCCACAGCACATTCAGGAATTCACCAATGAAACATGGCAGGCACGTACTGGAGGGCCACTTCCGGACCACCTGATACTGCTTGTGTGGTCCCTCATCGTGTCTCTTTTCCCCCTGGGGGGCCTGTGTGGAGCGCTCCTTGCAGGGCCCATGGCCATCCAACTGGGAAGGTAAGTGCTTTCTGTGTGCCCCCGAATGCCTTTTGCTGAGGAGCAGCGCAATCTATAGGCTGAGGAATGTGGGGGAAGGAAGATGCCTGGTAGACTCTGGATCAGTCTAGATTAGCTTCTCAGCAAGCCTTTTACGCTACCTGCAATTTGACCTTGAGAGTCACATTTTCAAAGAGATTTGGTAGAGGGAAGAGTCCTATGCAATGAGGGAGGAAGAGTCCTGGTTTCTAGTTCTATGTCTGACAGTACGTGCTATTAGATCTTTTCTCTTTTTTTCTTTCCTTCTTCTTCTTTTTTTTTTTTTTTTAAGACAGGGTCTTGCCATGTAGTACAGACTGACTTTGAACTCACTATGTAGCTCAGGCTGGCCTTGAACTTGCAGCAGTCCTCATGCCTTAGCCTCCCAAGTGCTGAGATGATAGGTGTATGCCATTATGCCCAGCTGCTGTTTGATCTCAAGTGAGTGTTTTCTTCCGGACCTCATTTCCCCATGTATATCTGATGTAGTTCTTTTTTTTCCCTGTACTTGGGATTGAACACAGGGCCTTAACCCTGAGCTGCATCCTCAGCCCTTTTTATTGTTTATTCTGAGACAGAGTCTCACTAAGTGACTACGCTGCCCAGGCTGGGCTCAAATTCGTGATCCTCCTGCCTCAGAATTCCCGAGGGATTACAGGCATGTACCAGCACATCTGGAGCTAATGTTGTTCATAGGTTGCAGACAAAGAGAATCTGACTTGAACTAACCTAATTTAAAAAATGTAATAACTGGAAGGACACTGAGGTAACTCACAGAATGGAAAGAAGTGCTTAAAAGCCAAGCCAAGAAGGACACGAATTTGGGCGTGATGGCACACACCTGTAATCCCAGCACTTGGGAGGCTCAGAGAACATTACCACAAGTTTGGGGCGAGCTTAAATGACATAGTGAGACTCTGTCTTAAAGAAAAAAGGAGGGCTGGGAATTTAGCTCTGCGGCACAGTGCCTGCCCAGCAAGTGCAAGGTTGTGAGTTCAATTCCCAATACCGGGGGAAAAAAATAGTAATAAAAAAAGGAGGAGGAGGAGGAGGAGAATTCAAGAGGAAGCAATAAGAATCATAAATATGTATGCACCAAGTACCAGTGCACCCAACTATATAAAACAAATATTAATGGCCTTTAAAAATCAAATAAACACTAATACAACTGTAATGGGGGACCTCAATACCCCAGTGTCGCAAACAGACAGATCAATTAGACAAAAAACCAACAAAGAAATATCAGAACTGAACCAAACTTTTGAACAAATGGACCTGGTAGATGTCTGCAGAGTGTTCCATACCACGACATCACAATATACATTCTTCTCAGCTGCACATGAGACATTCTCCAAAATAGACCACATACTAGCTCATAGGACCTGCTTAAGTAAAGACAAAGGAATTAAAATTATCTCATGCATATTATCAGATCATAGTGCAATGAAATTAGAAATTAATGGCAAAAAACCCACAAAAACTTCATAAACATATGGAAATTAAATAACACCCTCCTGAACAACCAATGGGTCACAGATGAAATTAAAGAAGAAATTAGACAGTTTCTACAATTAAATGATAATGCCAATATAACATACCAGAACTTGTGGCATGCAATGACAGTGGTGCTATGAGGAATTTTTTTTTTATTCTTTGGGGTTTTTTTGTTTGTTTGTTTTGTGTTTGGACCAGCAATGGAACTCAGGATTTTGCACTTGCCAGGTAGGCGCTGTGCCACTGAGCTATATCCCCAGCTCAGGAAAATTTATAGTAGTGAATTCTCATATAAGGAAAACAGAGTGGGCTCAAATAAACCTAATGTTGAATCTCACACTTCTAGAAAAAGAAGAGCTAGTCAAGCCCAAAGCTTGTATGAGGGAGGAAATTATAAAGATCAGAGCAGAAATGACTGGAATGAAGAAAAAGAAAACAATATAAAGAATCAATGAGCCGGGCGTGGTGGCACATGCCTGTAATCCCAGCACTCGGGAGGCTGAGGCAGGAGGATCATTGTGAGTTCGAGACCAGCCTGTGCTACAAAGTGAGCTCAAGGCCAGCCTGAACTGCATAGCGAGACCCTGTCTCAAAAAGATACACACACACACACACACACACACACACACACAGGAATCAATGAATCAAAGAGTTGTTTCTTTGAAAGATTCAATAAAATCAACAAACCTTAGCCAACCTTAACAAAAAAGAAAGAAAAGACTCAAATCCATGCAATTAAGAGTAGAAAGGGTGAAATCAAACAGATCCTGCAGAAATCCAGGAGATTATTAATACCTACTTCTAGAACTTGTATTTTAATAAGATAAAAAACACAAAAGAAATGGACAGATTCCTAGATAGAAATTCAGCAATTACCAAAGCTAAATCAAGAAGATATAAAAATTCTAAATAAATCAATATCAATCAACAAAATCGGAGTTGTAATTTAAAACCTACCAACAAGGAAAAGCCTGGGCTCTGACGGATTCACTGCTGAATTCTACAAGAAATTTGGAGAAGACCTAGTACTGCCACTTCTCAAACTTTTAATGAAAGTTTTTCAATGAAAGGGAAGCAATACTCCCAAATTCATTCCTGAAAGCAAGCATCACCCTGATACCAAAACCAGAGAAGGGTCCAACCAAAAAAGAGAACTGCAGAGCAATCTCCTTAACGAACATACACACAAAAATCCTCAATAAGATACTGGCAAACAGAATGCAGCAAATCATCAAGAAGATTATATACCATGACCAAGTAGGATTTATCCCAGGGATGCAGGGATGGTTCAACATATGTAAATCAATAAATGTTTGCAGGGTATGGTGGTGAATGCCTGTAATCGCAGCATTCAGGAGGCTGAAGCAGGAGGATCACTGTGAGTTTGAGGCCAGCCTTAGCTACATAGTGAGTTTGAGTTCAGCCTGAACTGCAAGGCAAGACCCTGTCTCAAAAAAACAAAAGAAAAGAAAAGAAAAGAAAAAAGTAATATATCACATTAATGGAGCCAAAGATAAAAACCATGAGAGCATCTCTCTCTTTTTTTTTTTTTTGAGACAGAGTCACGCTATATAGTCCAGGTTGGCCTTTAATTCTCTGTGTAGCCCAGGCTGGCCTTCAACTCACAGTGATCCTCCTGCTCAGCCTCCTGAATGCTAGGAATGATCATCTCAATAGATGCATAATAAATACCTTGCAGAAAATGGTCTTTATTTCAATCTGATAAAAGCCATCCATGACAAACTAATTGCCAGCATCATACTAAATGGACAAAACCTGAAAGCTTTCACTCTAAAATCAGGAACAAGGCAAGGATATCCACTATCACCACTCTTATTCAATATAGTTCTGGAAACATTAGCCACAGTAATCAGACAAGGGAAAAAATAAAAGGAATAAAGATAGGAGAGGAAGACATTAAATTATCATTATTTGCAAATGACAGGATACTCTGCAAAGAAGACACCAAAAACTCCACCAAAAGACTTCTGGATATAATAAGCAAATTGAGTAGCGTAGCTGGATACAAAGTCAACACTCAAAAATCAATAGCTTTCCCGTACATGAATAACAAACTCACTGAGAAAGAAATTAGGGAAACACCATCTTTCACAATAGCATCCACAAAAAGAAAGAAAGAAAGAAAAAAAGACAGACCTAGGAATCAATCTAATGAAAGATTTCAAAGACCTCTGCATTGAAAACTACAGTACTCTTTTTTTTTTTTTTTCTGGTACCAGGAATCGAACTCATGACCTTGCGCTTGTGAGGCAGGTGCTGTGCTGCTGAGCTAAATCCCCAGCCCCTAGTACTCTGGAAAAGAAAATTGAAGAGGACATTAGAAAATGGAAAAGTATCCCTTGCTCTTGGGAGGGAAGAACCAATATAGTAAAAACGGCCATACTACCAAATCTGTCATGCATATTTAATGCAATTCCAATCAAAATTCCAATAGCATATCTCACAAAATTAGAAATGACAATCTAAAATTCATATGGAACCAGAAGAGACCCAGAATAGCAAAGGCAATTCTGGGCTACAAAGGCAAGACAGGTGGTATCACAATCCCTAACTTGAATTTATACTATAGGGCTGGGGATTTAGCTCAGTGGCACAGCGCCTGCCTGGCAAGTGCAAGGTCTTGATTTCAATTCCTGGTACTGGGAAAAAAAAACAACAACCCCAAAAAAGACTCTAGGACAGTGACAGTGAACCTTTGGGGCTGGGGATATAGCTCAGTGGCATAAGTGCCTACCTGGCAAGTGCAAGGTCCTGAGTTCAATCCCCGGTACCGCAAAAAAAAAAAAAACAAACAGAATTTATACTGTAAAACTACTGTGATAAAAACAGCATGGATGGGCTGGGGATTTAGCTCAGCGGCAAAAGCGCCTGCCTGGCAAGCGCAAGGTCGTGAGTTCGGTTCCCGGTACCGGAGAAAAACCACACACACAAAAAAAACCCCAAAAAAAACCAGCATGGTATTTGCAAAAAACAAAAACCCAAACATTAGTGGAACAGGTTAGAAGATGCAAAAACAGCTCCAGACATACTCAGCCACCTTATCTTTGACAAAGATGCCAAACACATTCACTGGAAGAAAGATAGTCTCTTTAATGAATGGTGCTGGCAAAACTGGCTTTCCACATGCTGAAGATTAAAACTAGACCCATATCTTTCACCATGAGCTAAACTAAAATAAAAGTGGATCAAAGATCTAATATTAAAAGAGAAACACTAAGTCTGCTGGAAGACAGAATAGATAGAACTCTTGAAAACATTGGTGTAGGCAAAGACTTTATAAACAAAACCCCAGTCCCACAGGAAATATCAAAAAGAATCAACAACTTGGATCTCTCTCTCCCTCTCTCTCTCCCTCCCTCCCTCCCTCCCTCCCTCTCTCTCCCTCTCTCTCCCCCTTTCTCGACAGGGTCTCACTATGTAGCTGGCATTGAACTCACTTATGTAGCCCAGGCTGGCCTCCAACTAATGGCGATCCAAGGGCCTCAGACATCAAGATATATCAGACTTCCCAAGTTCTAGGATTACAGGCCTGCGCCACCATACCTGGCTGGGATCTCATCTTATTAAAAAGCTTTTACACAGCACAAGAAACCACCAACAAAGTGAACAGTCAACCTGGAGTGCAGAAAAAAATTTTTGCCAGCTGTTCCTCAGACAAAGGACTACTATGTAGAATATATAAAGAACTAAAAAAGATCAGATTCCCCCAAACTTAAAGATCCAGTCCAAAAATTAGCATCTTTGATGAATAGACACTTCCCAGATGAAGAAATAGGAATGGCAAATAAATATATTAAAAAATGTTCAACAATACTGGTCATTTGAGAATTGCAAATTAAAACGTTACTGAGATTTCATATCACTCTAGAAAGAATTGCTATTATTAAGAAATTAACCAATAACAAATGGTAGTGGGGCTGGGAGGAAAAAGAAACCTTCCCATTGCTGGTGGGAGTGCCTGTTAAATCAGTGTGGAGATTCCTCAAAAACTAAAACTAGAAGTTACATTTTACTCAGCTATTCCCCTTTTTGATATCTTCCCAAAAGAATTAAAAACATCATATCACAGTGATATATGCACACCCATGTTTATAGTGACACAGTTTGTAATAGTTAAATCTTGTAAACAGCCCAAATGCCCATCAACTGATGAATGCATAAAGAAGATGTGGGGTTTTTTTTTATGCAATGGAGTACTACTTTGCCATAAAGAAGAATAAGCATGAGACATTTCTAGGGAAATATATGCAATTTCAGAACATATTCTTAAGTGAAATAAATCAGATGCACATGTTTAAATACCACATTGTGTCTCTGGTGAGAAACCAAAAGTATAAATAAGGACCAAAGTGTATAATGAATATTGGGAAATGGGAAGAAAATGTTCAAATAAGAAGGAGACCAAGGAGGGGTGGGAGAAGGAAGGGACAAGAAAAAAAAGAAGAATAGAAGGAAAAAATGGAGACAAAACTTTTGTAAATAAAGAAGGGAAGAAAGTTTGGAGGAAGGGGAGGGGAATGGGAAAAAAAGAATCAGCAAGATATATCACTTACAGGTACAAATTCACTATGATGAATGTTATCATTACGTATATCTAACATGTACCAACAAAAAAAAATGCAGTAGAGCAGGGATTTGCCAACTATTGACTGTGGGCCAAGTCAAATCCCTACGTGGTGGTGCTTGACTGTAATCCCAGCACTTTGGGAGGCTGAGGTAGGAGGACTGCTGTGAGTCTGAGGCCAGTATGGGTTACTTAGTGAGTTCAAAGCCAGCCTGCACTACAAAGCAAGACCTTGTCTCAAAAACAAAACAAAACCAAACAAAACTCTACCTGTTTATTGAAAGTAAAGTTTTATTGGAAAAAAGTAAAGTGTACTGCTGTCCCTGCCGGGTGAAAGCTAAGTGTTTCTTGTGTTGTCTGTGTATTGAAATGGAACTGGGTATGGTGGTGCACATCTGTAAACTCAGCACTCAGGAAGCTGAGGCAGGAGGATCTTTGGGAGTTTGAGACCAGCCTTGGCTACAAAGTGAGCTCAAGGCCAGCCTGAACTCCATAGTGAGACTGTGTCTCAAAAGGACAAGAAAAAAGAAAAGGAAGGAAGGAAGGAAGGAAGGAAGGAAGGAAGGAAGGAAGGAAGGAAGGAAGAAAAAGGAAGAAAGGAAGGAAGGAAGAAAAGAAAAGAAAAGAAAAGAAAAGAGAAAAGAAGAGAAAAAGAAAAAAGAAATGAAACAAATGCATTAACCCCAGGGCCAAGTACTTAATTACTATCATTAATGGAATTTATTAATTCCAGTGAGGAAACCATACAGCATTACAACTGTAACTATTAGCTACCATTGGATTTATCACTAGATTCAGTTTGTTATGCACTGGATAATCTGTAATCTTTTATCCTCTAGACATGGGAGATCTAAGGTTTGGCTCGAATCCTATCACTGATGTGCTGTTGACTTTAAGGCACTGGGCATTCAACCATCTTGAAGGTTCTGGGAAGTGTCTGTATGTTATAAAGGATCTGTACTTGACTTTTTATGCATCACTTGCCTCACCTGCTTTTCCTCCTTAGGATTCTATTAAATATTCTTTCCTTCATTTTATATAGGAGTTTGGGGAGAACAATACTTAATGTCAACCAGAAAGCCATAAAATGCAAATGCTGTCATTTCAAGCTGCTGTGCAGGTGGAAAGAGTAATGTGTGGATAGGTTGGGGCAGGAATAAGAGTATGCACCTCAAGCTCTACCACATGTGAGCCCAGATACAACGGCTTGTGGTCATTTCAATTCATATAGCTTATTCTTGAAACAGTTCTGTCTGTCTGTGTCTGTGTCTGTCTGTCTGTCTGTCTGTCTGTCTCTCTCTCTCTCTCTCTCTCACACACACACACACACACACACACACACACACACACACACTCTGTGTGTTGATCAGGGCTAGTTAGAATTGCCAAGAGGTCCCTGGAGATGGTCCCTCTGAACTGAGCCACAGCCTGTCTTCCCTGTTTTCCACTCCCTCCAAGGAAGAAGTCCCTCCTGGTGAATAACGTCTTTGTACTGGTGGCAGCGATCCTGTTTGGATTTAGCAGCAAAGCAGGCTCCTTTGAGATGATCATGCTGGGAAGACTGTTCGTGGGAGTCAGTGCAGGTACAGGGTGAGGATGTACCTCATCCTGCCTCTTTATTTCTGTTCATTCATTAACGCCCCTTCCTTCCTCCCTCCCTCCCTTTCTTTCTTCCTTCCTCTTCCTTCCATCGTGCTTCCCTTCTCTTTATTCTTTGACTTATCTTTCATTCATGTCTGTTTCTTTTACAAAATGGTTAAGTATGGTTTACCTTAAAGGCATAGAATTACCGGGCATGGAGGCACATGTCTGTAATCCCAGCACTCTGGGAGCCTGAAGCAAGAGAATAACAAAATCAAGCCCAGCCTGGGCAACTTAGTGAGTTTGCAAGACCCTGTCTCAAACTGCTGGGGGTGTAGCTCAGTGGCATGGTGCCTGCCTGGCATGCACAAGGACCTAAGTTTGGTTCCCAGTACCAAACCCCATCCCCCAAAAAACAAGAACCAAGACCCTGTCTCAAAGTAAAAAGTAAAAAATGGCATAGGGATGTGACTCAGTGAGAAAGCCCCAGGCTCAATCCTTAGAAGCAAGCACACACACACAGCGCTTGTATAGCTAGACATTTACAGTAAATATTGAAAACATTGTTCAGGACAGGAGAAAACATCCCCAAAATTGCCCTAACAATAAATCTTGTGTTTAAGCAACACTCTAAGCATGAGATTTCTGACAGCCAAGGTGTAAAGGGGCATAGGATGAGTTCTTCGGTCTTCCCTGCAGAGACAGAATAGCATGTTAAAGATTCCTCAGTTCCTAGGGCTTGTCATGTGAGAGAGCAGAATTTTGAATATATTTATCTGAGATTTAAGGGGCTCCAATCAACAAGTTATATCTTGATTGTCTACTGTTTATACATCCAGGTATTGATGTCTACATTAGTTACCTTTTCCTATGAAACAGGTATCTCCAAACATACTAGCTTAAAACAGGCAACATTTATAACCTGCAGTTTCTGTGGGTCAGGAACCAGGAAATGCCTTAGCTGGGTGGCTCTGGCCTAAGGTCGTGCTCAAGCTGTCAGCCAGGGGTGCTGCCACCTGCAGGTCTGCTTCTGAGGAGGCTCCTTCCCCTGCCCAAGCTCCTCACCATCTGGGTCTCTCCATGGACTGCCTTAGTGTCCTCTCAGCTTGGCCACTGGCTTTCTCCAGAGTGACTGTGTATATGGGGGGGCGGTTTCTAGTGCTTTTATGTCTCAATTCCAGAAGTCATGCACCGTTTTTCCCACATTCTATGCGTGGAAAATGAGTCACTAAGAACGGCACACACTTTAGGGGCAAGGAACCAGGTCAGACTTGTTGCTGTGGCCTGTGTGCCCCGGAAAGAGTGAAACAACAGGGTTCCCTGAGACTCCTTGGTAGCACATCTGCCTTCCTCACACCTCTCTCTGCCAAAGCCCGTTGTGCGCAGAGGTGAGCTGTTACTGGACAGAGGGTCTTGGGGGAGTTTGTTTCCAGGTGCTTGGCATCCCAAACAAACAGCTGATCAGGACATTCAAAAGAAACAAAAGAACAAGATTTATTGAAAGTGAAAGAAGCCAAGCATACTTCACAGAGGGGAAGCAGGCCAGTGAGAAGAGCTCACAGCCCTCATAGGGGCTGCTGTTGGGTCTCTTAAGGTCCGAGGATTATGGGAGGATCTGTACCTGGAGGTGGACCAGAGTCATGGCCCAATGGGCTACCTGACTTGGTCCATGCGTGAGAAGGGAAGTTTCGGACCACACAAGATTTTTAGAGGATGCGTCATGGTGTCCAAACCCCACTGGGAGGAGTCAAACTGTAATGCAGATGAGGGTGGGGGGCTCATACTTTTGGTTTTGTGCATATTTTGACACAATCATTCTTACTCTGTCTAGTTTTTTGATTCTTTGCCCCATGGCTTCCTGCTGTATATTTGTCCTCAGTCTATCTCCTACCTCGTGTTCACACATTAATGGGAGACTCTGAGGCCAGGGAGGGTGGGTAGAGCTGCATTCCCGGCAGTATTCCCAGGTGTGGCATGGCCCAGTACTGTGCCTCTTCGCCTTGCCTTTTGTTACCATCTGGAGAGGGCAGTGGGGCACCGTCCAGTTCTCTGTTTTCCCACAACTATGTCAGTACCAGGTGTGTCCCTCGGGGAGCTGGGATGCGCTGAGAGCCTAGAACTGTAGTGGTCAATGAAAGAGTTGCAGAGAGAGCTGGGGCAGCTGCTGGGCATCCAGGGTGGGGTCCTGCCCTTCTCCCACCCCTGCAACCTCCAGCTTTCTGTCGCTAAGAGTGAGATACTGTTTTATTACTGGAAATACTGGAAAGAAAAAAAGGTTGATTTTGGCTCCTGGGTCTGGGACTTCCGGCAGGGGCTGCACGTCATAGCATAACGATGTAACAAACTCTTGGTCTCATGAGCCCGGAGGCATAGAGAGAAAGGTGGGGACTGGGGCCCCACAGTTCCCTTTGAACTCATGCCCCCGTGACCTAAGAACCTGCCCTAAGGCCCTGCAGACCAGGCTCTAACACGTGGACCTCTGGGGGCATTTGGCATTGAAATCTCCACAAAGACCGTCACACCTAGAAACATTCTATGAACATGTGGGGCTGTGGTGAGGGACCAGGGTGGGAGCTGACCTGGGAAAGATTTATCTTCTCCCAGAAGTCCTGAGCGGTGGAGTTGGAGGTCCTGTTGGCCCTATAACAGGTGAGGCAGAGCCCTTTACAGTATAGGGGGAGTGTGCAGGTGTGTGAGTGGTATGTCATGAAGGGGGAAGACATCCTGGCATCACAGGTGTGTGAGGGCCTCCTGGTAGCTGATGGGCTCCTGCCGTGCATGCTTTTAGGTGTGAGCATGAACATCCAGCCCATGTACCTAGGGGAGAGTGCCCCCAAGGAGCTCCGGGGAGCTGTGGCCATGACCTCAGCCATCTTCACCGCCCTGGGGATCGTGATGGGACAGGTGGTTGGACTCAGGTAAGGCTCCTCTCCCCAACGCATTGAGTGGCTTCAGGGATGCCAGTAAAAACCTTTCTTCACTCAAATTTTGCCCCTCCCCACCGCGTAAATGAACGCTTTGCCTCTTTGCACAAAGCCATCAAAATTCCTCCCTCATCCATAGGGTGGATACACAAAAAGCCAGCCACACTTTAGTGTGGATCACCCCTGTCCCATCTTCCCCAGGACAGGTGGCAAAGAACAGGGCTTGACAGATTTGGGCTTTTAAGGGGAATCATACCCGAGTCATCCCAGAAAGAGAAGAGGAACAAATGCACAAATGAACAGATGGAGCCCAGACCCCTGAGGAGAGGAGTGTTAGGGATGGATGAGTTGGGTAGGGCCGCCCTACCCTCTCTTGGTTCCTGCTGGGTGGGAAGGATCTTGATGTCCAGACCGAGAGCTGGGTAGGAAGAGGCACAGAGCAGTGTGACTGAGCAGGCGGGGGTTAAGGCAGAGGGGAGACAGGGTTGTGCCACAAAGGCACCTATCCTGGCCTGTCCTCTGCCTCTCCAGGGAGCTCCTGGGTGGCCCACAGGCCTGGCCCCTGCTGCTCGCCAGCTGCCTGGTGCCTGGGGTGCTCCAGCTCGCCTCCCTGCCCCTGCTCCCTGAGAGCCCGCGCTACCTCCTCATTGACCGTGGAGACACCGAGGCTTGTGTGGCAGGTGAGTCCCTGCCCGTAGGTGCATCTCACTGGAGCATATGAGTCCTCATTTCTTTGGCTTTATTTATCAGGAAAAAGCTCTCCTTCCTGTGCCTTAATTTCACCATCTGTCTAGACACCCCTTTAAAGCTCTTTCTCAAGGGGTTGTCCTAAGTCATAGGACAGTGGGATGGATCAGACCCAGCTCCTTCCTTTCAGGAAATCTAAGGTGATACATAAAATTAGCCCCCCCCACACACACACACCCCTGTGCAAGTGTCACCTGTCCAGTGCCACCTGAATGATGATATATTATCAGTTAACTATGGCCCTAATAAGAATTCCCCAGGAACAATCACACACAGAAAAATCTCTGACTTAAAACAACAATCATTTACCACACCTTCTACTCATTTACTGAGCTGGTTGTACAGCTCTGCTGATGTCAGCTGGGCCAGCCTAGGGCATCGGGTATCATGGCCAGTCTAAGCTAGCCTGGGCAGGGGCAGTTCAGCTCTGCACACACCTTTCACTCTCAGCACCAGTGGGCTAGCCTAAGAACGTTCGTAGTGCAGGGAAGGCAGGGACACAAGACACAAACACCACTGTACACGCACTTCCCAAACCCTTAGCCCCCGTGCCCAGTAACATTCCACTGGCCAAAGGGAGTCATGCAGCTGGATCCAAAGCTAAGGGCTGAGCAGATTGATCGCATATCTTGCCCCATGGCAAAGGGAGTGGATTTAGGGGGGAGTGGGTTTAGGGGGGAGTGAAGACCAGGCCCATGGTTGTATTCCTTTCAGTTTTCCATCACAGCCACAATGTTTTCCTTTGGCTCGGGGGTCTCAATGTTTGCTCAGGCTGGTCCCAAACTCCTGAGCTCAGATGATCCTCCCACCTCAGCCTCCTAAGTAGCTGGGACTCTAGGCACAAATACCAGGCCTGGATATGGCCGTGTGCAAAATATGTTCAATCCCACCCCCTGGTTCTTCAGAGTCTCATCCAGTCATGGTATCAGGGTGAAAGTCCTGTGATCTTAAGATCACATTAAGTCTAAAGGTGCTTTTTTCTGTGACCCAGAGACCTAAGTTCTAAAAAGACAAGTTTTTGTCCCCTACCACACTCAGCATACAGGTGGTACAAGGTAGCCAGAATTAATGTCTGATTTCAAAGACAAGGAGTCTTCACAAGGGACAGAGCAGTCCCTGACCCGTAACAGTTCTTGAAGGGACACATGGCCAGGTCTCCCTGGCTTGGGGATAGGGATTGTTCCTAGATTCAGTCCCGGCTGTGCCCCCTAGGAGAGGCTTCCAGGCTGTGGTTCTCGCTCCACTGCTCTGAGATACTCTGTTTTCCATGCCTTCCTTGACACTTTCTCACGAAAGCATTGGAAATGCACTGCGTCAGGTTTGGTGGCTGAGCAAGTTTCCCAGCCTGCTTCCTGCCTTTAGAAAGTTGAAGCCACAAAAATCTTTATATTTCAAACTGTTTCTGTCTCTTTTTGCCCAAAGTGGAAGATCTCTTGACAATACAACTTCGTGTGTGTATATGTGTGTGTGTGTGTGTGTGTGTGTGAGTGTTCAGTGCCTCATAAAACCTAGACAAATGCTATACCATGCCTAGTTTCCCCTCTATTTAATAGGAGCCCAGAGGGGAAGGGGGAGGGGAAGGGGAGGGGAGGGGGAGGACTCAACCTCGGGGACCAAAGAGGGGGTGATGGAGCAGGAGCTCAGTACCCCTTCCCTCCACCTCAGCCCTGAAATGGCTTCGAGGTGACAGGGATGTGACCTGGGAGCTGGAGGAGATAGAGGAAGAGCGAGCTGCCTGCCAGGGCCACCGTGCTCGGCGCCCATGGGAGCTGTTCCAGGATCCTACCCTGCGGAGGCAGATGACCAGCCTGGTGGTGCTGGGCAGTGCCCTAGAGCTCTGTGGGAACGACTCGGTGAGGCTCTACCCTGCCCTACGCCTTGGGCCTGTGGTCATGGAATAGGTAGGTGGGAGCCATGGGAGGTTGAAGGGAGTCAAGACCCAGAGCTGCTCCTCCACCCATGCCCTTCCAGGTGTACGCCTACGCCTCCTCCATATTTCTGGAGGCTGGAGTGCCGGAGGAGAAGGTCCAGTATGCCATCATTGGGACTGGGAGCTGCGAGCTGTTTGCGGTTCTCGTTAGCGTGAGTCTGGGCTCACTCTCCACTAGCCCTGCAGAGGGAGGGGGGTTGGTGCTCAAGGTCCTGGTCCTTCTAGAACTGCGTCCCCTGCATTAATCCGGTTTCCACTTCTGCTCACTCGGTAAGACTGCAGCAAGTCACTGAGTCTTTATTGAGCTCCTGTGTCTACTGGCCATTCACACGAAGTTGAGTAAGTGACGGCAAGGGTCCTCAGGGAAGTTAATAAAGTCATAATCTCCTGAAACCATACATTGCTCCCTCCTGCCCGCTTCCAAATGACACCTCTTCCTATTGCCTGCCCCCCGACCAAAACCCAGTTATGGGTCATTCTGAGTGGCTCCTTTCTTTTGCAGTGTGTGGTGATTGACAGGGTAGGAAGGCGGGTGCTGCTGATAGGAGGGTACAGCATGATGACCTGCTGGGGGAGCATCTTCACCGTGGCCCTGTGCCTGCAGGTAGCTAGGGGAATGGGGCAGTGGCTGGGCCAGGTCTGTTTTCCACCTCACCCTCCATCCTGTCTACTGCAGAGCTCCTTCCACTGGATGCCCTACCTGGCCGTGTCCTGCACCTTTGCCTTCATCCTCAGCTTTGGCATTGGCCCTGGTGAGTGAGCCCAAGGGCTTCTGGGCTTTAGGCCTTGCTGAATTGTTGAGGCTCGTTGGTCTCTTGGTGTACTCCAGGGAGGAATGGCAGCGGGAATGAGGGAAAGATAGGCAAGAGACAAGAGCTGGGTCCGGTGGAGGCCTCTTTACCAGACGGGCAACAGCACCTGAACAGCACCACCAGGGGTATTTGTTTATGTTCCTGCAAAGTTAGTATCATGAGACACAAGGTTGCACAGCAACTAATGACTGAAATTGTCCAGGCAGGATGCTTTTCTCAAGACTGAGGTCGCTTGACTGCTTTAGGCATGCTGGCTCTATCCCGCCCTCACACATCTCACCAATTTCCAGCTTTAGCCATTCCTGACACTGACTGAATAAGGGGTGTCTGGGGGAGTGATGGGTGGGTAGAGGTGAAATATCAGCTGCAGCCCCTGGGACTGTGCTGAGGCTTCTGAGAGAAAATGGTTGGAGGAGAGTACCCTGGGGTTCCCATGCAGACTAGGTCCAGATGAGGGACAGGCAGAGCAGAGAACCCAGGCTGGCAGCTTCCTGTCCCCTCTTTTTGCAGCTGGAGTAACAGGGATCCTGGCTACAGAGCTGTTTGACCAGATGGCCCGGCCTGCTGCCTATGTGGTCTGTGGAGTGCTCATGTGGACCATGCTCTTCTTGGTCGGGCTGGGGTTCCCCTTCATGCTGGTAGGTCTGCCCTTGCCCTTAGGGTGGGGAGCCCTGCCTCAGGTTTTGTACCTGTCACTATGACCACCCAAGCGGGAGGCCTCCATCCAAGGAGACTGACACTGTGGGGAGGGGTCCCTGTGAGCCAAGGGGAGAAGGCCTGCCTCAGGACCTGTCATGGGCCTTCTGTTGAGGCCTGAGGGAAGCCACCCCTGTCTTGGGGTCTCTTTTAACCCACAGGCGAGTTTGTCCCAGTTCCTGTATGTTCCTTTCATCGGTGTTTGTATCTGTGGGGCCATCTACACTGGCTTATTCCTCCCTGAGACCAAAGGCAAGACCTTTCTGGAGATCTCCAAAGAACTGCAGAGACTCAACTCACCCAAGCAGGCCCAGGGCCCCACGTGGACCGGCCCTGAGGTCATCACATCCACTGAGCTCTAGTTGTAATGGGAGTGGCACAGACAAAGCCAATTGCTGTCCTTTCTTTTGCTTTGCTTCCTCCATTCACTGGCTCCTGCTTGTCTTTGCTTTTGTTTTGTTTTGTTTTGAGACAAGGTCTAGCTGTGTAGTTCAGGCTGGCCTTGAACTCGCTCTGGAGCCCAAGATGACCTTGAACATCCAGTGATCCTCTTGCCTCAGCCACCCAAAGGCTGGGATTACAGGCATGTGCCACCACATCCCAGCCAGAACATGTTGTCTGAATGGCTGTAGTCTTAAAGAATGTGAAAGATAAACTTTGTTATAGAAATCTGCGCATACATGCTAACGATGCGAAGCATGGGGTATGAAAAGAAATCCTTTTTCAGCATTGTATTAAGTTGGTTTTCTATGACTATGAAAAAAAAATACCTGAGATATATGAGCTTCAAGAGAAGAATGGTTTATTTTGGCTCAGGACTTCGGAAGTTTCTGTCCATGGTCACTTCACTCCATTGCCTTTGGGTCTGTAGTGGCACAGTGCATAATAGAGGGAGCAAGCACATGGTGCAGGAGCTGCTCACCTCAAGGGAGCTGTAGAGAGAGAGAGAGAGAGAGAAAGAAAGAAAGAGAGAGAGAGAAAGGGAGAACACCAGGGGGCATGAATGATTGCTTCAAAGGCTCTCTTGCAATGATCTAACCTCTTCCCACAAGGCCCCATCTTTTATTTATTTATTTATTATTAGTTTTTTTTGTTTTTTTTCTGGTACCAGGAATCGAACTCACAACCTTGCACTTGCCAGGCAGGCGCTGTGCCGCTGAGCTAAATCCCCAGCCCTGGCCCCACCTTTTAAAGCTTCTTCTACCTCCAATAGTACCATGGGTTGAGGACCATCCTTTAAAACAGGGGCCTTGGGAAGACATTTATCCAAACCATAGCAAGCCTTTATTTTTATTATTTATTTATTGCAGTACTGGGAGTTAAACTTTCCACTGAACTATATCCTCACCCCCTTTTTAACAGAAAATTTTTTGAGACAAGGTCTTTCTACGTTGTCTAGGCCAGGCTAGAACTTGGCAACCTTGCTGCCTCAGTCTCCTACACTGCTAGGATTACAGGTATGTTCCACCTTGCCCAAGTTATATAGGCCTTGAGAAAATACTTGTATCACGTAGGCGTAAATACTCCCTCTGCATAAGTTCCAGACTCTAATTTTCTCTGGATTTAGCAAGAATGATTCTATCTTGGTGTCATCAAGACATACTCCATGCTTTAATCCTCATTTCACATAAGGATTAAATTTCAAAGTATGAATTGGGGGGTAAAAACATTCAGCCTATAGATTTTTTTTGGTGATTTGTTGGACTTAACAATAAATTTATGTTTGACTATGTAAGAAAACTGGGCCAGGGATATAGCTTAGCGGAACAGCACCTGCCTGGCAAGCGTGAGCTCATGAGTTTGATTCCCAGTACCAAAAAAAGAAAAGAAAGAACACTGTTTTCTAATGTACACAACAGTATTTTACATTTCCACCAACATTGTTTGAGTGTCCTGGACACCCCAAGTTCTCATCAACACTTGGTATTGTCAGTCTTTTTAATTTAACCTAAAGTGTGTAGTAGTTTCTCATTGTTTTCATTGTGATACTTCGATGATGACTAATAATGTTGAACATCTCTTCATGTGCTCAGTATGGCCATTCATATGTCTACTTTTGTGAGGAATCTCTTTGCATCTTTTACCCACTATTTTTATTGTTGTCATTTTGTGTTTTTTTTTTTTTTTAATTTTTGAGGCAGGGTCTCATTATATAATTGAGACTGATCTTGAACCCATTATGTAGCCCCAGCTGGCCTCAGACTCCTGACAATCCTCCTGCCTCAGCCTCTGGAGTGCTAGGATGTTCCATCACACTGGTTGGCAGTTTCTGCTTTAACCCTGAAGATAGGAGGGACGGTGCTGAGAAGGACAGGAGAGTCTGGCTTTCTCCTGTGGAGGGAAAGAAGGGGAGTCTGGCCTGGCAGCTGACCTCTCTCTACTGTGGGTCATAGGAAGGTCCTTTTAATCCTTGGATAAGCTTGTGCATGCACATGTGAGCATAAATGTTCAACCTGTGTAATCTGGAGGGTGCCCCAAAAGTGCTCCCTCTGAAAGCATGGCTATGCTCCTAGCATTAGGCTACCTGCCCAGATCCAAACCCAGTGTGGTTTTTCCCCACTTCCTAGAGCATTTCATCAACCCCCCCATGGCTGGAACCTCTCCCTCCCCTGCTTGCTAATAACCTAGGCTTGTGAGTCTCACTTTCCAAAAGCCAGGGGTCTGGGGTCCGGGACCTGGGGCCCAATCTCTCTTACGTGGAGCAGCAGGGTCATGTGGTTGTCTGGCTGCCAGGTTCTTGCTGGTCCTCCTGAAGGTCTGGCATTGTTTGTTCTCATGTCTGTGCTCATTCTGTCCTCTCAGATCCACTGGTTCTCTTTGTTGGGACATAGGACATTCTGTCCCATGCCTCAGAGCACTTGTTCATTTATGCCTTCAGGTTTGCACATTTCCACTCAGAGCCAACTACATCCTGAGGCCACCCTAGTCCCTGTTCTTAGGCTGCACCCAGGGATTCCAGGATGGCAGTGACCCTCACCTGGAAAAAAAGTACAACAATCTCAGAATCACAGCATGTTCAGAGCTAACCTCTGTGGAGGGTTTTCTATGTATCAGGGCTGTGCTGAGTGCTTTACACCAGTCAGGGCCTCTAGCAGAGACCCCCGTGAAATTAGTATTTTTATCATCCTCTTGCACACATAATAGACTGAGGTATGTAAAGGCCAGTGGCTTCTTCAACATCACACAGCAAGTGGAAAGGCCAGGATTAGAACTGAATGACCTTGGATAGTCTTGACCTTGGGCCTTGGATCTTGCACCTTGGTCAGCCTGCACACTTCAGGGACTAGAAGATGCCTGATTCTGATATCTGATGGTGCTAAAAATATAATAGCCATTGTAAACTGCACTGTGTTGTGCTTCCACTTTATTGTGGTTGGGCAGGCCAGGCCCAATCCACTGTGGATTAGAGGTGGGGTGGAGTCTCAGGCCAGTGCTTTCTGAAATGGCATCAGGACTGCCTGGGGGTGGTGTCTGTGCAGCTGGAGGATGTAAAGGCTGAGCACCAGGAGGCAGATGGTGAGCCCCAAGGTTGTACAATGGTCCCTTGCTATATCGCATTTCACTTATTGTGGCTTCACTGTATCACAGGATTTTTTAAAAAAAAAAATCTAAATCTGTATCGCAGAGTTTTCACTGTATCACAGGATTTTGTGGTATATAGGTATCTATATAGTGTTTATGGGTTTAATTATTTTTGCCTAAAAATTTAAAACCATATAAAAATATAAAAATGTTAATTCAAATATATTAAAAGAATATTAAATCAAAATAAATTACAGTATGTATCTCATCAGTGGATGAATACCGTACTGTATACAATGGAAATGCAGTACCCCACTACCACTTGTGCAAGTTTGCCAACGTGAGATTGTACACAGCATACTACTGGCTGATAGAATCGAAGGCAACCAACCGCAGCACTGTGTTCTGTATCCTGGGCGCTGATGGGCTCAGTGATTGTAGCGTCAGTCTGTTTGCTGTGCTGTAATGTGCCCATACGTTCAGCATCTCTCCTTGTCTACTCCTTGTCCTGGCTCTACCGCTGAGTACGCATACAGAATTTTACATGTTGTTAAAATTATGTAGGTTTAAGAGTGTAGGAAGTGTTTAAAAGCATATGAAGTGTTTATAAGAGTGTGGTAAAGGTTAATAAGAGAGTGGGAAAGGTTTATAGGAGTGTGGGAAGGGTTTATAAAGCCTTAATATATATATATAAATAATAAAATAAATATAATACCACCGTTTCAAGGAATTTTTTTTTTTTTTTTTTTTTTCTTTGTTTAGTTCTTTTCCAGTATCGGGAATTGAACTCACGACCCTGTGCTTGCTGGGCAGGCACTGTGCCACTGAGCTAAATCCCCAGCCCCAAGGGTTTTCACCTATTGTGGGGGTCTCTGGAACATAACTCCCGCGATAGGTGAGGGATCACTATGTTCTCCCCACTGTGGCTTTGTTCCACAGTCAGCAAGGAATTTTTGATAGTTTGAAAGAACCAGACATCCAGAGAAAAGTGTACTGCTTGCTGGTGAGGTGCCACCTTATCACAACCAAGTGCTGGTTCTTCAGTCTTCTGCCTGAAGTTACTAAAACCACTGCCCATGTTTCACTGCGTAAAAGAAATCAGAGACCAAATATGTGTCCTGGGGACAGAGTCACCTCATTCCAGGAGGAGCAGCCCACCATGGCTATCATAGCAGGAGAAAACAAGAACAGAAAGGCAATGCCAGCTAGTGCGGCCATGGTGGTGGTGGATGGGGAGAGGTGAAGATAAAGGAGCAGTGGAGGAAGGTAAATTTCACTGATGGGCAGTTAGGTGTGGGAAGAAAAGTCATGCACTTAGATTTGGACCCAGGGGGCAAGAGATGTTGACTTGTTTCTGATATGATCGGACTGAGACCCACACAGACAGACCAGACATTCTGACACAAGAGAGTCTTTATTGGGGGGAGTGACATGGCGGGCTGCCCAGCTGACTAGGGCAGCCCTGAGCTGAGCAAAGCATGGGGTTTTTAAGCTGTCCTTTGGTGCGGGTGTCTGTGAGCCAGAACATTTTCTGGGAGGGGATGTCCATGGGCCAGAACAGCCCAAGCGGGGTGGGTTGTTTGTAAGAGTTGAATGTCTGGTTCTGCCAAGGCAGATGAGGGTGAGGTTGGCTTTTGTTGAGGGGAACTGCAGGGGAACAGGTGAAGAGGAAGGAGTTTTTATTAACTCCTTAATAAAATAGCTTAAATCTCCCACAGGAGGGTGAGTTGCCTGGTGACTTATCAGTTTCCTCTTGGCTGCTGGGGCTCAGAGAAGCTCCCCTAGCTGAGACATCACAGAGAGTGTCACCAGTGCATCGGTAGTCATGGAGCCCTGGGCTCAGGTAGGACTGGAGGTGAGATCTAGAAGGGAAGGGCCTTTGGCCCAGCTGGAGGAACCAACACTTATAGGCTACTTTCATAAATAGGCCGTAGGGTCCCCTGACTGGAGGCTGGGTGGTGGCCCAAGAGTCTTGCAGGCACCCATGTCCTTGCTGTGCCAGTGTGTACTGTACCATCATAACTACGTTGTACCTGTCAGAGATCAAGGCCAGGACCTTCCTGGAGAGTACAAGAACTTGGCCAAATGTAACATACTCCCTCAAGGGCCTGAGGCCAATCCTGCAGCGTAGGGAGTGCCCTGACTGGCGGCCTCCTCAGAGGGAGAGTAAGGTTGGCTATGGGGCACAGATTTCCTTGCCAAATGATGCGAGGGACTGAAGGTTCATTCTACCCTGCAAGGCCAGGGCCCTAACCCACTTGCCACCCTGTCGTCTTCCTGCTGTGTCACAACTATTTTCACGCACATATCCATTTATTTAACCCATCCTTGGTGTCTCCTGGATATGAGCAGCTGCTAGATGATCCCTGAAGGTGCCATTAGTGGAAGATACAAAATCCACCAAGGGCTCCAAGAGAATCCCTGCTGGATCGACTAGACTAGAGGTTCCCTGTGGTGAACTTGCATAGGGTAGGGTTTGGCTAGACTGGGTTTGCCCACTGAGGCCTGGCGGAGCACCTTTGAACAGCAGAGTCCCGGTCTCACTTCCAGCTCCTGGTCCCTCCCCTCAGGGCCTTCCTGAATGCTCATCTGCCCTGTAGAGCACACACCCCAGCTCACGCGCGCGAGCAATAAGGGGACACTTGGCTCGGGAGGCTCAGGACACCCAAGGAATCAGTGTGTGCAGTAGAATGAGCTGAGCTTCATCTCGGCCGACTCTGGAGGGCAAGGGGCCATCAGGCGGGTTAACGGCCGCGTCCCCACTCCTGGCTCCACCGCTGAGTAACCATTAGTAAGTAAGCGAAAGGACTAACAAAGAAAGCTAAGCAGGAAGAGGTAAAAGTCCGGCGCCGCAAAGACACCGGCTCTGAACACCGACACCGGAAGCGTGAGCCCGGCGGAAGGGGCGTGTCTAGATCAGGCCCCGCCCCGGCGGCCGGCGTCGTCGTCACGGGAGGCGGGGCCGATTCCACCAAAGGGCGCTGCCACCGGTGGTCACGTAGCGCAGGTTCCTCAGCTGCTGCCGCGCGAGCGTAGTCCATTGCTGCTGCTCCCGTCCCGTCGCCTTTCTGCCAACATGCCGATGTTCGTCCTGAACACCAATGTGCCCCGCACCTCCGTGCCGGATGGGTTCCTCTCCGAGCTCACCCAGCAGTTGGCGCAGGCCACTGGCAAGCCGGCCCAGGTTTGCGGGGAGGAGGGAGGAGAGGCAGGGTGGTCGCCGGCCGAGGTGGGCCGACCCGAGCTGCTGGCGGGGAGGGGACGGCGGGGGGATGGGGCTCGAGCCCGCGGTGCCCGGCTGGGGTCTGGCGGGTGGCTGCGGCGGGCTGAGCGTGCCCCTCCCCCCAGTACATCGCCGTGCACGTGGTCCCGGACCAGCTCATGACCTTCGCGGGCTCATCGGAACCCTGCGCGCTCTGCAGCCTGCACAGCATCGGCAAGATAGGCGGCGCGCAGAATCGCACCTACAGCAAGCTGCTGTGTGGCCTGCTGGCCGAGCGCCTGCGCATCAGTCCGGACAGGTGCGTGGGGGCGCCGAGGGGCGGGAAACGTGGACCCCAGAGGGCGCTGGTGGCCACGGCCAGCACGTGGAGAGGCTGCGGACCCGAGCCCCGCTTACAACGCCCCCTCCCCCCCTTGCGCTTCGCAGGATCTACATAAACTATTACGACATGAACGCGGCCAATGTGGGCTGGAACGGCTCCACCTTCGCTTGAGAACCCTTCTTCCTGAGTTCGTGTGCACCGTCCCCTCCAGGGTCCCACAGTGTTTTGTACCCCTCTTCCCCCAAGGGACCTCCCCCTCCCATGAGGACAAATAAATGGTTTGGAGACCACGGCTATCTTGGTTTCCTTGGCCAATGGAGGAATTGCTGCGGGGCGGACTTATTGACTGGGAGCCCAGGCCTGGTTGGATGGGGTGGCAGTCGTGGGGTCAGGCCAGGTTACCCCCCCCGCCACAACTTGCTGTTCAGGACTGCCATCTCCAGCCCGCCCCCCACCCTTGTCTCAGGGCTGAGATAGATTGGCATTTTTCCAGGCCACAGACCTAGAAATCAAACCAAAGACAAATCTGAGCCTCCTAGACAGAGAGTTTATGCCTTTGCCCTACTGGGTAGATTTATGACTCGGACAGGAATCCTGAGTTTATGGGTGTTTGCATTTCTTAGAGGTGTACCCTATGGGGTGCTGTGAGGGAGTGCTGAAATGCAAATGGGGAAAAGAAAAGAGTAGGATTAAACCCCGCTTGGCCTGAGGTAGGGTCCCTGGGCCTCTGTCTTTCTCAGTCCCATTTTCTCCACCCTCCAGATAAGTGAAGAATAGCTTGAGAGAAACCCAGAGTCAAGTCACTCCACTGGCTGCTAGACTGGCGCCCCTGCTCTGGAAAATCACTCATTCTATCTGGGCAGTTTTGAGGTGTGTTGGAGGGGACAGGTACACAGTATGCAGAGTTCTTTTACCTTCCTGCCCACACCCCAACTTCATGCCTGAGGTCAGCTCCCCTCAGGAACCCAATCCCGCCACTGCAATAGTGCCCTGAAAAAACATCAGGCTGTAGCATAGGCACATGCTCTTTTCCTTGTTTGCTTCTCCTGTTCTGAGAATGGGCAGCTTTGCTCTGCCAAGCCCTTTAACCTTGATGTGCTCACAGCAATGGAACCGGTCAGTCATGGATTGGACCTCTGAAACTTATGTGCCAGAATAAACCTCTCCTTTAAAAACAGTACAACAGGGGCTGGAGATTTAGCTCAGCGGCACAGCACAACGTCATGAGTTCCATTCCCGGTACCGGAAAAAAAAAACCAAAAAAAAAAAAAAAAAAAAAAAAAAAAAAAAAAAAAAAAAAAAAAGGGGGGGGGGGGGGGGGGGGGGGTGCGGATGAGGGGGGAATGTAGTGCTAAAATAGGATAGAAGAAATAAATTTTTTTCTCTTTATTATCTATAGATAATAAATTTATTTTTTAGGTACATAGATAATCTATTCAGTTTATTCATTCTGGGGCTTATCCCCAATTTAAAGCCTTAGCCTCAAACCAAGTCACTGGTAACACCAGGGGCCAGAGGAGTCCCGCCTGCTGCCCTTAGCACACACATAAACATACTTCGCCCATGCTGTAATTGTCACTGGTTGGAAAAGTGGGATGCAAACATTTAGGAGCACAACCACATTGGAGCCAGAAATCATGGCCACCACGTGAAGTGAAATGGGCTATCAGGCAGCTTAATACTGTGCAACATTTTGGGGACCTCCCTAAAACCAGTGGATCCTAGAGAGCAGTAGAAATATCTGTTTTAGAACGTTTCTGTGCTGTCACTGGAAACTGTCCATAGAGCTGGTTCCTTGTTGTATTGTGCACAAGATTTCACATGGCCAACACTACCCTTTGAGAACGTAATCCACACAGAATTAAAGCATGGGGATGTGTGTGTGAAAGGGAATAAAAGTTATAAAAAGTCCACCAGACTTTTGAAAGGGGCACAAGGGGGAAAACAGTGATGGTCCTGGCCACTGTAGGCAAATACTGTATGATCGTCACCAAAGCAGAAGGGAAGTGGAGGGCTGATGGTAAGCATTCAGCCTGTCTCCAGCCACTGGCCCCAGTGCACATCATGCCTCACATGCCCAACGCTCAACAAGTGCTTGAAGCTCTATGGACACCACCAGGTAGAGCATGCTACAGCTGGCTAAATTACAGCAGCAAACTGACACTATACGTACAAGAGAGCTGTGTTCACAAACACCATACTGTATGCACATTTACACAGTATTATCTAAGAGATTTTGAAATCAACTTGGTAAAAAAAAAAAGACGACCACCAACAAAAAAACTCTTAAGCATTCCAGACACTGGGAGATACATGTGAAGGAAACAAGTTTCCTCTTCTGTCCTCTCTCCGTCCTATCTTGGAATTTATAGTCTGTATTTCACCCCGTTACTGAAATGTTTGCAGGGTACCTTCTGTGGAATTGTAGGACAGGCCATGACTCCCCCTAAGGATTTATACTTGCATATCAGTTGTGTTACAGAACACTGAAGGAATCAGATTCAGAAGGGGGAGGAGGAAGTGAGGCATAAGAAAGCAAGAGAAAGGAGGTCCTGTGGTCAAAAGAGGTACTGTACTTCCAGGAGTTTGACCTGAGCTGGTAGAGAATCTGGAAGTGAGGTCTGGCAGCTGAGTGCCTAGTGCACGGCCAGGTGAGGCAACAGCAGTGGATGCCTGCAGCCCTAGCACCAGCAGGATCACCTTGGGTGCCACTGCCAAAATCCAGGGGTGTCATAGGTTCCCAGGGCAGTATGAAGACAGGCCAGTCTTCACTTCCGAAGGCCACACCAGCTTTGTGTGCGTGCCTCTCATAGAGCTGGGCCCATCACATGGGCTGTCTGCACTTCCTCAAGCCAAACATGATCTAAGAACTTTTTTTAAAGGGACTTGACTTTTACTGATAAAAGTATATCATATGATAAAAAAATTTTCTGTACATTGATGCAGAAAGAAAAGGAAAGAATAATTTTCAGGGACTACCACAGTCCCTGAATACCCTCTCTGGGAGAGAAATGGCTTTTCACGGCCTCATCTTTCAGTGCTCCAGGTGCCATCACTTTTCCCACTAAACAAAAATATGCAAGTAGATCTCCAGAAATGTATCTTCCTGAGAAGTTGGAAAACAATATTTTGAAACATTAGCCACCTTCCTCCAGTTCCCCACCCTGAAACATTGTTTACCTCTCATGGGAGGTTTTACTGTACTGCTCATTCTGTACCTCTCCATACTGGACATTAATCTGGGTCACTCCATCAGTCTCATGTAGCTCCATGAGGTTCTTCAAGTCTATTAATGTGCAGCCAAAGTCCCCTTCATACTCTCAAAAGTTAAGCTGGCTGACAAGGAACGTCCTAGTGGGTTAGTCATTTTGCATGTGGCCACCAGCCCTTGAATGAGAGATATGGTTTCCCCTCAACTGATCAGTGTCTCTTGCTGCCTTGTGTGCCCATCGCTTCTCTGGGGGGCCAGTTAAGAAATAGATTGACACTATCGCATCAGGGACGCAACTCCAGCTTAGATCCTTGTGTAGGAAGCCTGGTGCTGAGAGGAAGATGAGGGGATTGAGTACAAGACGGACTTTGTGTCACCATGATTTGTGTCCCCTGGTGGTGATGAAAACAGTAATCCTGGGTTAGATAGGTTCCTAGTTCAGACTGACTTTCACAGAGGGAAGCGTTGCCTTGGAGGCAACCTTAGCAACAATCAGCAACTGTGGTGGTAGAGTAGCAGCAGCAGGAGGAGGAGGGTTCCCGGGATATCGATGATAACCGAACCTATCTCTAGCAAAGGTCCAGGTTTTCTTCGAACAGGACTCTCCCTCCGAGTTTCCATGTACTGAGCAAGATGGAGGTAACCACCCAGCGGTCTCCCCAAAGTAGCAACCAAGCTACAGATGCTGGCTGTGAGCTCTTGCCTTTCCAGCCACGGCAGGGGCTTGGACAGGAGGGGTTTGGGTGGGTCTCCTCCCCCAGCCCTTCCAATGAGAAAGACCACCCATCCACCCACTCACCCCCCAGACGAAAATGAGTGCAAGGAGTTGATCCTGCTGTCTCCGGGAGAACGGTTCCCCAGGAAGTTCGTGCCTCCTTCCGCATCCCCAGCTGTCTCTCAAATCCTAGCTGCCCAAGAACTCTTGGCGCTGTCACTATGGCTCTGGGCCTCCTGTCTCTCATACGCAAAAAAGGGACCATCCTATCCCAGACGCTGGCGCAGAGGAGGAGACGCAG